AAAAAACGGCTGACCCAAATTCTTGATTTAACTGACAAAAAAAACAGAGCACTCGTGTATTAGCTAAACAGCCAATGTTTTCACGAAACAGTTAGTTAGTTTAGCTCTACTAAGACATATAATAGCAAACTCATACGATTCTTGGAGCTTCTAATAGCAGCGACTTCATTTTTAGTCTGTCATGTTTTGTATGCTAACTTTGACGCTTGATCTTCAGGCATAATACGAGATGGCATATTTTCTTCTATGAAATCTAATGTAATTTTTCCACGATGAATAGAATCGTAATCATCTTGATAAATATAATCATAATCCATATATCTTGCTTCAATTGATGGAATTATATTTTGTTTCAATAAATCAATATATCTTTGGGCAGTCATGGTTTTCTTTTCACCATGACGCCATTCATATTCATCTAAAAATTCATCAATAAAAATCGGATCATTTTTAGGTATAAGTCCACGCCAGCTGATTGCACTCCACATCATAAAACCTTTAAAAAAATTTGCTGTTGGTGCTTCTAATAATTCACGTGGTATTGATTCACGAGTTTCACCATAAACCACATTGTTTTTTGTATTATTCGGTACTTGTAAACCAATCTTAGCTGAATAATCAGAATTAATGACTAAGTGCCACGAAATTTTTTTGTGTCTTCTTTTCGTCCATATTTATTCAATAAAGTTTTAGCACTTTTGACTCGACTTTTAACATGATCATTAGTCATCTTGGATGTTTTAAATTTATGAAATGGTTTAATATGTAAATCTTTTTTCATCGCACGATGAACACTTGCTAAAGATATTCCTAAATTAACAGCTGTTGATCGTTGACCAGGATTATGTTTTTGATGTAAATGTCTTTGTTTAATTTGTTCAATATTTGTAACTGTTCTTGCCGCTTTTGGTCTTCATGGTCTTACTTTGTCTTCAAGTGTTCCTCTTTTTATAGTACGTTTCGATTATGATAATAATCCATTGTAAGATATTCCATCAGGTTGATAATCTTGCCAAATTTGTTTTGTAATTTTATGATATCCCCAACATTTCTTTTCATGCCAAATCAAGATCAATGATCGTAAGGCCAAGTGTTTTTTTTTACCTTTAACATCAATGTTTTGAAATATGGGAGACATTGGAATTAAAATTAGTATAGAAAATATGGAAGTATGAATTAATGAATTAATCTGATTGCTATTCGTTACATATTTAGATAATATATAATTATGACTGGAAAAAACAACGTCCAGTATGTCAATCATTATATGTCATCTTTTTGTCGTTCAGCCCTTCCAGTAGGTGAACCATGTACGAGAAAATAGGAACATTCATTTTTTTTGTCAGAAAATTTTGATATCAACTTGTGTGCTGAAATGATGTTAAGTATACCAAGAAGATTAAAAGCAGTAATAAAAAATCAAGGTAGAAGAATTCGTAAGAGTGATTATTGATTTTTTTTCATCGTCTAATTGTTTTGATTATCGTTTCTACTGATACTAATGCTAAACTAGATGAACTTGTCATTTTTTTATGTTTAAAATAAATTTATAATACAGAATCTAAAAATCGAAATTTGATTGGTTTTTTTCAAAAAACTTCTCAATGGGGCACTTTCTTAGAACTGATACAAATACATTGCAATCATATCTGGATGATAGCTTAGAAGCTGCTCTTCAAGAATATATGGTCACTATCTGTCTACCTTTAAATATAACAAAGATAGAGTAAAAATAAAAATGGGGTCGTTACTTATGAAACACCCTTTATATAACGATAACTGATATGTTAAAACGGAACGTGTTTTTAGTTACATTTTTTTTAATTACATGCAAAAACAAGTTTATGTTTTTTTTTTCGTTACTACATGCAAACCCAGGTGAAACAAGCCCGGTCGTAAGCGGTCGTTTTTGATCGTATTTGACCCGTTTGGTATGCGCCGTATTACGGCCGTATATCGCCGTGTCGTAAACGATCGAATACGGGATTTTCCAACCGTTTTTCACCGTTTCTAATCGTATACGGCACGGTGATATACGGTCGTATTACGGCGCATACCAAACGGGTCAAATACGGGCAATTTACGGCCGTATCCTTATCATTAACGGTCGTTTACGACCCGCTCACGGTCATCGTAATGCTGGACCTGGGAAACGATTCTATTTCTGGCGTAACTGACAAAACCTAACGCACTTCCACATTATGAACATCCATATGTTGTAATGGTAGTTGTGGATGTTGTGCCCGTTGTCCTCGATATCCTCGTTGTGATCTCATTTTGTTTCCAAAACAGGGTTAAAATGCAAGGACTAAAAACAAAATATCCATGGAACAGGCTATCGTTGATTAGCAAGAATCAGTTAAATGTCTATTTCAAATTACACAGACGCATTTATTAAAGTTTCAAGAAAAATCAATATCAACAAAAGCCTACTTTCGTGTTGAACAGACACTATATGAATTTATTTTCTTTGAATAAAGATCAGACAAAGAGAAAGAGAGAAAATAAAGATACAATGCACTATACTGAATTACCAATTATTTTATAAAACATTCTTCTTGGTCAGATTTAAGTGTCCATAGAGTGCACCGTGTGCAGTACATTGTTTCTTTGCTGTTCTCTGACACTTTTCATTGGTAGAAATTAATTGTACAGAGCTAATATTATACAAGTTTTCAGCAATAAAGAATCTAGTTAGAATAATCTTTTTTCATCGAATATTCGAAGTGATCCAACGATTTTTTTAAAATTTATCAAAGTACAAAAGATTTCTCAATTTTAATATTTCATTCTATTCAAAAAATAAAAAGTCACTTCTTTAAAAAAAATGTACACGATTTATTCAAAAAATTGGCGAATATTCATGCATTCAAAACTCGTCTAATCATTTATTCATCATCTATTATCTGACACTACTACACGAAATAGTATCCAACTGAATTTCACAACTCTTCTGCTTTCTTACAAGAAACGGGATTCTAGAAGAATAAAATGTATGACTATTCGAAGTGTCAATGGAAATAAAAAGCATCATTCTATCAGAAAAGTTTATTTTTATAGAATTTTCTTTTATGAAATGTGATGCAAAAAATGAGCTTTTTCAATCCAACTGCTTAGGATTCTCCTCTAACTTTCTTCAATTGAGCTAAAATTTTTACTGCAGATACTTGGAAGTGTTCTTATTGAGTTAAAATAAAGAACTCACATATTCTTTATGTTCTTTATAATAATAGAAGATGATTCAAGTGAAAAATCCCTAACAGACTATGATTATTTTCTAAGAATTCTTTATTTCAAACAGAATCCTTTTTCGGAGCTCTATTTTTTAATTGTCTTATTATTCATTTTCCGAATTTACTACTATTATTACTCTAATCATTGTAAATAAGGCTGTTTTTTATTTCCATAGAAGGTCTCAACGCGCTATTTTATATATCAATAAGCTTACAAACACTAACTTTGATTATTCTCGAAATTTATTATTTATCTAGTTGACTCTTTCCATGTTAACAATATGACGACTATGAAAAAATGATACAGCATTAATAGAAATGTGCAGGACCTAGATATTTTGATTCTAATTCAGAGAAAACAATTCGAGGCATTATTCGTATCATATTGAAATTAATTCTTCAACACTCATTATTTTTTTAAATTTAATCGATGACTAACATTTTTTAGAATTGTCTTTTGAATTATGCCTATAAACTTGAGTTCCAATTTCTGTCTTAGCAACTTCTATTTTCTGAGATCATTATCCATCATTCTTGGCATCATAAATATAAATTTTTAATTCCACTATTTAGAATGTCTTTTCAGCCATTCAAATTTCTAGAAAAGCTTTGGAATTTTCGGTATCACTTTAAAGTTCGTTTTTAATACCATTCAGTGCACTATCTGGTTGTTAATCCGTGAAAGTCATCTGAAGCTTATTGCTCTCAATTACTATAATAACGTACATAATCGTCATTGGTCTCTTCCTTCACAAGAAAAAACCATTTTCGTGAGGCTTGGTTGATATAACCAGAGGATGGAATTAGAAAAATTTACACTTACTATATTTTCAAGAATATTAACGAAAGTGTCGTTCGAACAAGGGTGACCACGAGTTACGTTAGTCTTTCAAGATACTGCAATGCATGAAGTTATTTTGTCTCGCAAAATATTATATGAGTTTCAAAAGCTCTTCTCAATATTTTTTTATTGATCAAAAGGACAGTAAGATCTCTGTATAGTTTTTCAAACTAGAAGGAGCTATTCCACTCACACACTTCGTTAAAACTAATCTTCTATGATGAAAAACAAAAATTAGAATCTTCAATTTCTGTTAAATATTCTTATTTTGAATGAAAAAAAAACTTAAAGACAATAATCAAATTTTCATGTTTGATTAATATCTATTTAATCAATGAATAAAGGTTAGTTTGTTTTACCTAGTTAAATCAGCTTTTAATCATTCATAAAAGATCATCAATTGATGATAGAATAGGCAAATGTGAAAGCAGTGGATGAATAATCAATGATAAAAGATTTCCATTTGTCATTAAAACATAAATTATTAATTGTAAATATATTTCTAGTCTAACTGGTTCACCAAATGTTAAAACAAATAGTTTCACTCGCTAAGAAATAATCTCGAAATAGTGAATACTAAAAATGAAACAAAACAATTCATTTGTGAAATAAAACCAACAAAAAAGAATAACATACTAATTCTCATCCTTTTTTGCTAATAGTTAGCTATATCAAGATTAAGAAAGGTACGACATAACTGTTCAATATTTGTACCTTTCGTAAAACCGAATTCTTTTTGCTATATCAGCTATTGATCTTTGATCACTAATTAAATAATATATTTTTTTTATGAAATTTAATATACACTTTTAATGGATGATATGACATGACTATTTGTTCTGGTGAAATCTAATTTAAACAACAATTAGTCGACAAAAATTCAAAAATAAAAATATTTCCTACTGGAATACTAAGACTTGTGAAAGTTTTGTTACTTTTGATAAATGTAATTTATTATCACCATTTGTAAAAAATACAATTGGAATACAACATTCTCCAGATGTTATAAGAACTTCATAAAATGTATCATATATATATATATATATGGTAATAATTTTCTTTCATGTATTAAAACAACATCAATACCAAAAAGAAGATTTAAATCTAACTAAATACACAAAAACAAAAACAAATTTATATTAATACAAATAAATAAATGAATGAGCCTGTTTTACATCGATGAATGAATGTCCGACCATTATGAGTTCAATTAACGCACACAAGCAAACGGACGAAATAACTAATAATACTTTCACTATTTATAATAAAATTGATGCTGAAAAACATTACATTAAAAAAAATGGTAGTAGTAGACGAGGTAGCGACAATGATGGTGATGCACTATGGAATATCAGCAATAACGTAGGTATGAGTTAGTCTAGTCATCATGGTAATATCGTTTTTTAAATTGAGTATATCTTCACATTGATTTTACATAAGATAACTTAGAATAAATGTGTTAACTCAATCCGATGATCAAAGAATTGATTAAGTTAATAAACTCTAAGCTAAAATTGATTTCAAATGGTTAATAATATGCTTTTGAAATGATCTAGTAGAAAGACAAATAATGAAGAATATTTCGATTTGACAAATTCGACTGAAATAAGAAAAAACAAAAATATTTTTACAGTGATATTGAAGAAAATTTTATCAAATTCTCATTATATATATCGACAAAGACGCGCGTTATGGAATTTCATTTTTTTACAATGTATCAGCTATATCTTCTCAATAACAAAAGCAAACGCTCTGAAATTTTTGTCACAGATAGAGACCAGTTAGATCTACTATCGGTAAAAATTTCATTGATTTTTGCTTAGCCGAACGTGAGTTGTGAAAAAAATACTGTGTGTTACGAAATTTCAAAAAATGGAAATGTTTTTGAGGGTGAGCCAAGAGTTAAGGATTTCACTCGTAACGAAGTGACATAGCATTAACGCTCTGTATAGAAATTACTCAGCTTTCCACAAGTTTTCAGAATATCAGTCCATTTGTTAACAAGCGCAACTGCATCCAATAAAAAAACTGTCGATACTGCCTGTTACGGAATTTCATCATTTTTGACGTTATAATGGGATGAGTTTGAGACCTTTAAATTTCCAGTTATTACGATAAAAACCCATTTTGTCTTCAGATCAACTAATAGTACGGAGTCAGTTCTATCGTCCAACTATGTCGGTTTTACTGTCACAATTAAATCACATGAGAAATTACGTCTGTTCTTCAGACAAAAAACGAAATATAACAGAATTCAAGACTTAATTTTTTTGATGAAAATAGTCGAAAAATCTCTTTTTAACACTTGCCAAACGAAACATAAGGTTCCTATCACCAATCAACCAACTATCTCAGAGGTTGCAACATGTTTGATGATGTGTCAGTAATGTACTTTTGATTTTACAGGGAGTTTTCTTTATTTTAGTGAGTTTAAACCTTCCCCATTCAAGGGTGACCGATGGGAGTTTTTGCTGAAATATGCTTTTAAATGCTAAAATTCAATTTTCAAACATACATGTTTCGTTAGTAACCAGAGAAAAGAAGAAAAAAAATATTCTTCTATACAGTTAAAAATATTCTTTGATGAAACCTTTCTTGTATTAATTTATCAAAAACTTCAATAATATTTACTGATTAATTTAAATTCTCCGTGATTCACCAATAAGACAATTTCAGTTCCATTGTACAAAAGACAATGTTGCTGCTCTTGACACATCGATTTCAAAGAGAACAAGAATAATGAGAAGAAGAAGAAGAATAGAAGTCATTTTTTATTTTTATTTTTTTTCAGAGTAAAATTAAGAGAGAAGAATGTACTATACATAGAAAGTCCATTTGATACCTACTAAGTTATGCAATAAATCAGAATCTGAAGCGGAAAGGATTTTTTTATTCCTACCATGTTCCGCCTTGAATAAAAATCGTTTTTGTGATAGACAAAACTCACTCTGATTTAATGCTTCATTTCCAGTTTCTAATACTAATGAAGGGATCCTCTCCGTTCGTCCTAAATTAATCAATCATGTAACTCGTCCCTTAACTCTTATTCTTAATTCGTCCCTTGCGTAAACAGGTCATTCTTAATTGATTCTCAATTCGCCCCTCACCTATCTATCTCTTCTGAAATTATCCGTAACTGTCAATCAATTTTATATATACTTGAAAGATCCATAGGGCTAAACCTTACATCCTCGCCCACAAGATGGAACATGAATATCAGCATTATGTTGCTAAAAAGTGAAGTTCAATTATAAAGACGTAAGGAAATTTACGATCAAATTGATATTAAACTTGCTATGCTTCTTGGAGAACACAAGAACAAAAAGCTTAGTGATGCGAATATGGATCTTCTAGTACATATTTATGTAATTTTAAAACGACCTCTATGTTTATGAATAAAAAGAAAAATAAGAAGTATTTTTCTTTGGAAAACATAATGAAATGAATTGAATAAATCTATTTCATACGTCATAGAAATTATTTAGTTTTTCAACATCATCGTATTTATATTTACGATATTGATAGATCAAATAATTTTCCAACCTGAACTCTGTGACCAAAAAATCCTACAGAGCCAGAAGTTATTAACTGATCAGACGAAGAATTATTGACATGGATACTTTTCAATTTTCCAAGTATACTGCCAAGAAGAAATATATGACATAATGCTGAGATATGAACAGTTTATCTATAAAATGAACAAGTTGTGTCTATATGAAATTAGCAGAAAATGATATATGGTTGTTAATTGTGCTATGGATTCTTGAGCACTTTGTCAGTACTTTAACCTATATGTTTTTTGTATGAAAAGATGTATGTTTTGACGCTCTAAAAAACATTCAAAACTCATTCGGAGATCTTAAAAAACAGTGTCGACATAGAATTGAGAATAGCAAAAACCGATGTCAACATCAACTGTAAAATCATTGGTTCTCAAAAATATAATAATCATAAGTTCTATCCGACAGCATGTAGAGATAAACTAACTAGTGAGTTTTTTATAGCAGATTTCATTCTATCGACAGATATAAGATTATAATTGTATCGATAGGTTTTCAACTTGTAAAATTCGACAAAACAAAATTTCCAAATATTGAGGTTTTATTATATATCCTAGTCTACCTCAAAAATGTTGGATCACTAAAACAACAGAAGACTTTATTCAAAAAGGGCTTAAAATTCGTATTTATGACTAACTTTTGTTTTCTTTCGAATCTAATAGTCATATTCAAAATGTAAAACTTTTCGACATCCGTTTGAGTAGTAGTTTATCGAACGTGGTCTTAATGATTTATATCGAATTATAATAATAGTAGATTTTTCTGTTCATTCATTTGAGACAAGTGAATGAGATATTAAATTTTTTTTTTCTGTTATTATAGATATTGTTTTAAATTTATTTATTAGGTGATGACAAAACTTTTCTGATTTTTATTATTTAAATATAAATTGTAAAATGACAGAAAACTGAAACACCTAATATATGAAATGAATGAATTTATTATTGGAATACTAACAACAAAAAATAAAATAACATAAAAAGCTAATGTATTAAATTCTCAAAAAATATTAACCTATATTTTCCATTTATCCGACACTAGTAAATGTGCCATAACCCCATGATGCTCCATCACCAGATATACTCAATGTCCACGATTCTGTTGAACGTGAAAAATACGTATTAGCTGCATTCGATGTTATTGTATCATTTTGCCAATTACTTCCATAAGACGAACTTGGATTGACCGTAAATGCTAGTCTATTATTACTAGCACTATATGTTATATCTGTTGCTTGAAAATAATCAAAATTATACATAGCTGTACCAAACCATGCTTGTAGAAATTGATCATGTGTAGTTGGTGTTGATAAACATGCCATTTTAACACCTGAATGATTTTTATAATTAGCACATTTATCAGCTTTTTCTTTCCAAGCTGGTAATGAAAGATATGTTCCATTAGAGACTAAATAAGATTCAAGTAAATAAATATCATTTGAATTAAGTTGAACATTAGATCCACTAAATACATCATCAGGATTCCATGCATTCATAATAACATTCATATTTTTTGAATGACAATATTGAATCATATTCGATTGACGTTGTCGTGTCGCACCATAATCAAAACCAGCATCATCCCAAAATATACCCTTTATGAAAGAGAATGAAAAAAAAACAAATTTAATCCTCAATTCTGAATTATATTTCTTACATTAGCTCACATAACGGACCAACCATCGACAGCTGTTTGCATTTGTAGTACACTTAAGTTTTGTGTTGAAACGCCTAGATCAACATATCCGAATACTTTTTTATTACGAGCAATCAAATTTGTAATAATAGTTTGTGTTTTCGAATGATCACCGTGTGTAGTCTTCCAGAGTCCATCACCAAGAACGATTAAATCAAATTGTGCAAACCAATTACTAGCTGCTGTCACATCACCTAGACTGTTTTCAACTAAAGATGGCCATCCATAATAAATAGCTAAATATTGTGGTACTGTAACTGGTGTTAAATCGACTGGACTCACAATATAAATTGTAAAGAGTATAAAAATCTTAACAAACATTATTGTATGATATGTTCGTTAAATCAACTTTATACAATACTCAAAAAAGAAGAAGAAATGAGCAATATATACTAACAGCTTGCAGGTGTTTTTTTGTTTTGTTTTTTTTAATAACACAAGGATTACTAATATATCATAAAGAAAAAGGTAATTTCATGGTAAAAAACCCATATTTGACAAAAGAAAACAAAGCGTCAATTTTTCTTTCCCATGTTGTTTCGTACTTTATTGGTGCACTCCTCAACTAAAGAAAAAAAACAAGATTGGTACACCTAAACTGATAAGTTTAATCAAGCATATCATATACTTTTTTCTACATAAAAATTTGTTTTGATTGTCATGATGTTTTCTTTACTTTTAAACGTTTATATATCGAAAAACAAAACATACCCCTGAAAATGAATTGGCAATTTCAAGAAAATAATTGCTTCTATTATTTCAGGTGCTTAAAAAAAAAAAGGAAAAAAAAGACAAAACAAATCGATCGATTGAAAAGTGATAAATTTTTTAGCGTCTTTCTATGCATTGCCTTAGTCAAGGTGTTAAATTCAAAGTTTGACAAGTGTGTGAAAAGAGAATGAATAATTATTCTTATGATCATTATAACCTTCAATTCAATTCAATAATCATCTCTGATTTCAATCATAATAATAATTATTGAGAACAATGTAAAACAAAAAAAAGAAAAGAAAATAAGTGTACAATACATTCTCTTAGTCATCAAAGTCATATATCTAGTGGAAACAGCTTGAAATAGTTTATTATAGCTAAAAATTCATAATCAATACTCTTAACTATAATGATCAGAAGTACATATGTGCATGCATGCATGTATGTATATACCATTGGAATTGCAAGATAATTACGTTGAACACGATCAAAAATAAAGAAACATGTGTGTGTCTATCAGAAAAAGTCAGACATTGGCAATTGAACAGTCATCATTGGTAAATGAGAAAAAAACGAGTCTGTAGTCATGAATGAAACATTACGATGACTAATTCTGTTATTTACCTTGATTGAAGAGCAAAATAATCATTTCTTCTTTCTTTCGATTGACATTGTTATTTACAATCTACCGTATAATTAGTTTCATAGGTTTTGATTGTCGATTATCAGCTTTATGGGTGATGTAGAAACAGAATAAAAAAAAGAGCACCCAAAAGAGTTCTTGTGATTATGTATTGTTGTAAGGTTCAAGAGAGAGAAAGAAGAAGAAGTTCATTTAGACTTGTTCACTTAATTTGTTTTAAGGTGAGAGAGTGAACAAACGAACAACTTTTTCTTTTCGTTTCTTTTCATCGTATCAATGAATGACACCGTAGTAGAAGTGAAGAATGATTGCTTCCACTTGATGTATATACGAAGTACATGCTTGGCGTGTGCACACTTATATTTCAGGTTCAATATCCCAAGTGTATTAGTTAGTGGATAACAACATCTCAAAACAAAACATGATTGAACTTCTTTGAAAAAAAAATATATATATAATAGACAATGCCTTTCTTATGTTTTTTTATTGTATTTTCGCTTTTGTTTAGAATATTGTGCGTGTCGACAAAGTCGATTGAAGCCGCAAGGATATCATTTCTTTCTCTTCTAACTATATATGTTCAGACAATGCTGATTAGACGAAAAAAAAAATATGAAGAAGAATGCAGGTGCATTTGTGAGATGCAAGTAACACCCATTCATCATCAACATCAGTAGACGATTACGAGTGTCTCTTTCTCTGTTCTCTTAAACTTTTAATGTACAATTCAACAAATTCATTTATGTCTAACCTTTCTATGTCGCTTCCCTCCCTTTCCTTCTCTTATTTCGACAAGCACTATTGCAATTATAGTAATAGTAACTCTTATAACAGTGAAAAGACGCAAGCTGCTGCTACTGTTACTATGTCTCTCGTCTTATTCAGTATACAGACATACATGTACACATCAGTAAAACGACTCATAATCCCATTCGAGCGGTTGCTCAAGACAAATTGCACTGTTAGGATCACGTCTATACTGCCATACACACACATTTTATACTTTTAAACATTTTGCCGATCGACCGCGCCTTTGTACATGCAGTGCCTAATTGACAGTAGGTGGTAGTTGCAGACACAATAACGCCATTTTTTTTTGTTCGCTCTTTTCCAACAGCGTCGTTTTGAACTCTTCTTTTCATTGTTTAGCGGCACTATTCAATGAAGAAAAATTACAAACACATTCATATAAAAGAGCGTCAATGGATAATTATCTGTCTATTTCTTTATCTGTAAGTGACATTAGAATTATATGAAATGACCATTCAAAATCTAGTTGAGACATCAATTTCCTAACCAATTCTAAACCGGATAGAAAAAGAAATGAAGAGTAATTGTTCAATATCGGTCACACCTCCCGGTGTCCAGATTGCTTCTTATAAACCTTATCATAACATCAGAAATTCTTCTCGGACGATCAGTTCAGTATGGACCAGTGAACTAGTAATCATCATCATCATGAGTACAGCGTCGGCTAATATAATTGAAAAACATCAATTATGAAAGAAAAATAAACTTGAATGCCGTCGGCTACTATACTAATTCAACGAAGCAGATCAAAAAAGGAAGAAATAAAGAAGTCAAACTTCTTCGTTTTTTTTCTTGTTGCTTCTATACACTTTGTATCCATATTGAATCAGCTGAATATGTTCACTCGTTTATTCTTTGACGGACATATGGAGAGTAGTTCGACATCCTGCTGTGAATAAGACACGTATCTTCGAGCGATGCTCATCGTCTGTCGTGTACACATCTTGGTAAAGCTAATTTATTATCCTGACAAACTTCTTTACAGGTGTTGTCGTGCTTATCAGATCATCAACATTCTGTTCGAATAAATGAACTTTTTCTCTCGCCTTCCGATTTTTCCAAAGAAAAAATTCTCTCGTCCTCTCCTTTCTTTCTCTCTCTCTCTCATTCTCTTGCTTCTGTTCAAATGTGTATGTATATGTATACTAATTGCTATTGTTCACGCGAGTTCAATGTTCAGTCTAGAAAATAATGGTGTATAAGATCTATCTTTCTTCGTCTAATGATCTATACGCGTGCATTGTGTCAGATAGCATCATGAGATTAGCGCACAGATCAAGGTAAGATCTTTTGCTGATCAGCAGTGCACAGTTGTCGGAGTGAGATTAAGTGTGTATATTCTACAAGCAAAAAAAAAAGAAGGAAGGTCTGTCTCATCATTAATTCGAAACAAGTGGTGAAGGTGCTAATCAATCCTACAATAAGTAAGTAACCCTGCTCTGTATGTTCAAAGTACAATACATAAAAAAAAAGAAAACCAACAAATGATCATCTTATATTTATCAAAGGAACATCATATCAACTAAGAAATTTATTTTTGTTTTTGTTTTTGTTTTTTTTTGTGTTTTAGATGATCCTCCTACGTTTATTATTAATAATTTATTTAACAAATGCAACATTTCTTTTTTTTGAACATGATTCATATGAATTTTCTATTTCGGAATCAGCACCAATTACTACAAAAATTGGTTTTATTAAAGCCACATCATCATCATCAATATTAATACACTATGAACTTCATGGTGATATATATAAAACATTTTATCTTAATTCTTCAACTGGTGAATTAATTCTATTAAATATGCTTGATTATGAAACAATAACAATACATAAATTAACTATTGAAGCACATTCATCATCATCATCATCAACAATAGCACCTTGTTTTAGTGAAATAATAATACATGTTTTAAATATAAATGATAATTTACCTGATATAAATTTAATATTTTATCCATCAGTTTTATTTCAATCAAATATAATTAAATATGATTTAAATACATATTCAACACCATTAGCAACAATAAATATAAAAGATCTTGATGAATCAACAAAAAATTTAAGTTTATTTATAAATGATACTAAACATTTTCAAATACAATTTGTACGTCAAATTAAAAATGGTTTAATAACTGAATCAATATATATATTATCAACAAAAAATAATTCACAATTAATTGAATATGATTATTATTATTTATCATTAAATTCATGTGATAATGATCAACCATCTTTATGGACAAATCGTTCATATGAATTTCAAATGAAACCAAATGAAGAATATTTATGTCAATTTTCATTTAATAAAAATAATAATAATTATATTCTTGATATAAAAGAAAATTTATCTAATCGAACATTAATATTAGAAAAAATAACAAATAAATTTTGTTATAATGTATCCTATTCAATAGATGATACAAAAAATTTTTATATTAATACAAAAACAGGTTCTTTATATACATCAACAATATTTAATCGTGAAAAACAAAGTATTTATATATTAAATTATAAAGTAATTGATCAATATAAAAAAGAATTTAATACAACTATAATTATACGAATATTAAATGAATATGGTCATATACCATTTTTAAGAAAAAAAAATTTTCAAATAAATCAAAATGAATTTTTTTCAATAGATTTATTTAATTCAACATATTGTCGTTATCAAACACGAATTTATAATTATTTTCAACTTTTAACTAATTGTACACTTATAAAATTATCATTACCTGTTAAAGGAAAATATTTATTTCATATTCAACTTAATAATAAAAATAATTATGAAGATACATTTCAACTTGAAATAACATCACAATCAAATCAAACATTTTTATTATTATTTATACGATCACAATGGATAATTATAATACCAATTTTTTTAGGTATTTTTCTAATTTTTATTACAATTATTTGTGCTATGATAATTATTAGAAAACGTAAATATAATCAAATTTGTCATGATAAACAGGTTTGTTGATTTTTGAAAAAAAAAAAATTTTTTTTTTTGTATGTTTTCTTTAATTATAATTCTTTTAGAAATCATCATCTTCATCCAGTAATGAAGAAAATGTTCATGATAGTAAGTAGATTTCAATGGAAAATAATCCTCTTTTTCTTGTCAGCTTTTCTATTATATCATAAGATATGTTCTGTGTTTTCTTATAGAATATGATGCAATTTCAACTGTATCTAAATTAAAAGTACATGATGATCATGAATTATCATTGTCACCAACACGTACAGCAATATATTTAATACAAAAGTCATCATCATCACCATTTTCATCATCAAGTCCAATACGTGATGATGAAGGTTATTCGGGTAGTTCTGATGTATCAGAAAATCATTTACCTGTTGAAACTTCAATTCTTACTACTAATCAACTACTCGAACAGTATCGTATATATGAATTTCGAACTCGACAATCAATGTCATCATCATCATATGATGTACCTAAACGAATGAATATGTCGTGTATATCACAAGATGTGTCACTTGTATAACTTGATTTTTTCTGTTTTTATTCAATTTTTCTTTTATTCAATCCATATAAAGATATATTGGTTTATAAAATATTAGAATATTACTATTAAAAAATGAACTAACTCTTTTTTTTTTCTTGTTTTTTTATTATCAAACAAAACATAATTAAGAGAATGACCTATGAAAAAGATTAGTAGGCTTGATAGAATTATGTAATATAGGTTATTTAAAATATAGTCTTTTTTTCCTTTCAAGCATCAAAGTAATTATTTGAATTGATTGCTATAGGAAGTAACAAATATTAGATAACAAAAAGCGTTAATTATTAGAATTGACTTTATAATAGAGAGCACTAGAGTTTTCGTATACATTAAGAGAACATTGAGTTCTCTTTATGACTCAGATGCATATTTCCGGTGCCCGTATAGGAATCGTATACCGTGCGATTATTGTGTATTTATGGCTGTATGCCATCATGTTTACATGAGCTTTCTTTTCATGGAAGTGAGGGATGACTATTCTATTGTACTCTTCTGTCGTAAAAAAAATATTTGTATAATTTATTTATTTAAACCAATTTTTACTCTTGTACTTGTTTTGCGAATCAATTTAAATTAAAAAAATAGATTTATTTTAAATTGATAACCATGAATCATGATCCATTTTAATAATGCAACGTAAACGGCTATCGTATACGACACTGTAAT